AACAAAAAGATGTTTCCAGCTGACATGCACATGCAAGAAATGATATAAGAAATTCTTCAGATTAAAAATAAATGATATAAAACAAAAATTTGAATCTATAGGAAGGGATTAAGAATTCCAGAAATGGTAACCATGAGGGTAAACATAATACTCAATATGGGCTTTTTGCAGTTTTTTTTCTCAATTTCTTTAAAAGCTTCATGATTGTTTAAAAGAGATACATTTATGTTATGGGATTTCTAACACACGGAGATGCATTACTGATGACAACTACAGCACAGAGAAGTGGGGTGAACAGACTACTGAAAGGTTCTTGTATCGTATGTGAAGTGGTACAATATTAACGCTATATGCACTATTATATACCAAGGACCTGCTATTGTAATTCCTAGAGCAATCACTTAAAAAATAATGCAAAGGTGTACAACCAAGAAACCTAATAGAATTAAAACAAATTACTAAAAAATACTCAATTGATCAAAAAAAGTCAGGAAAGAAGTATGAGAGAAAACAAAAGCAGCCAATACCATATCGAAAATGAAGAGCGAGATGGTAGACCTACATCCAGCCACAACAATTTATACCCCAATTAAAAGGCAGACTGTTGACCTAGTTACCAAAGCAAAACCCAATTACACAATGTCTACAAGAGGTACATTTTAAATATAAAGACACGAATAGGTTAAAAATAAATAAAATAATTGAAAAAGATACATACTATGCAAACAGTTAAGTGTAAGAAAGTTGGAATGATTATATTAATATAAGACAAAACAGACTTCAAGATAGGGGATAATACCACAGATAAAAGGAATTTCATAATGATAAAAGGGTCAATATAATAATCATTAATGGGTATGTGCCTAATTACAAACTTCCAACACACAGACAAAATAAAAGGAATAGACAAATTCACAAACGCAGCTTGAAATTTTAATACCTCTTTCCATAAGTGATAGAATTAAAAATATAGAAGATCTAAAACAATACCATCAACCACACCTTGACTTATAACACTATACCCCAAAACACATTCTTTTCAACTTGCACCTGAATGTGTCATGTTCCCCTAATAAAAATAAGGTTCTGTAAATGTCTGTTAAATAAACAAACAATACATAGGTGGACAACAGTACACGCTGAAATGAAAGTAACACTTGGCTACTGACTACCTCATAGTTGAATCAATGGACAAGAAATTGAAACTGATGCTATAGACTTAGAATCATCCAAGCCAGTGATTTTCAACCCTTTTGATCTCACGGCACATAAAAACTAATTACTAAATTTCTGTAACACATCAAAAAATAGATTTTTTGCTGATCTGACAAAAAATAGGTATAATTTTGAATCATTCATACCAGACAGCTATTGTTATGCTGGCTGTTTTAGTTTTTTTTTAACAATCTAAGGGAAAAGAGGTCCGCGACCATGACTAAAGTCAGGTACTGCATACTTTTAAAATTCTTAAGGCACCCCAGTGTGCTGTGGCACGCTGGTTGAAAATTGCTGAATTAGATGTCTGTATTTCACAATACTTAAAGCACTAACCTAGATGCTAGAGACAAGGAATGTACAGAGGCAAAGTCCCAGGAAGTGAAGGAAAAAGTTAAATAAAGAAGCGTTAAGTTTCAGAGAAAGGCAGTACCTTCTCTGAGATGTGCCCCAAAGAAACAAAAATGGATGCAGGCACAGAGATTTACTGGAGTGAGGAAAAGGGTGAGGCTGCGCTCGCAAATGGCTTCACCTCCTCAATTGATTTAAAGGACCATTCGCTTGGGGCTTCCCACTCTTCTGAGTAAGGCTCACTTTGCTGGTTAGCATCCTTGTTTTAAACAAGGTTGACTGAAGAGCTGTTACACATACAAATCAGTCTACAACAAGGTAATCAGGAATAAGTTATCAACTTTTCAAATATGGCATTGAGGGGAAAATATACTTTCAGGATCAACCTGGGCTTAGAGCCACCTTCATAAACGGCTCTGCTCTGATTAAGATCCATTCTCTTGTCCCCTTTTGACACCCCATTTTCCAATGCAGAGGTGAGGTCTGACAGCTGGAAAAGACAGGTGTCTGACAAGTGCGAAGATTCTCTACCTTCATATTAATTGTCTGGCTAATAGCTAACTGGGTGAGAAAGATGTGGAGAAACCCAAAATATATTATGTTCTTCACAGCCAAATGCAAAACCCCCAAGAAAGCTACTTCGTATCATTGAAGCAACTACTGGACACATCTGACCTTCCCTGTTGAAGGACAGTCTCTTCTTTAGGCAGCAAGACAATCTTATGTTGTATCCGGGGTCAACAACAGAAATGACTGGTCAGCTGCAAAGAATGTCTGTCATATGTGTATCTGTGCATGCGTGTCTGTATGCACGCATATATTCATCACCAAGAGGAAATGGAATCATTATTTATGTAATTTATATATATACACACATATATAACACAACACTGCATTTATCTGTGAACATTTCATTTCTACAGAACAACACAGAATAATGGGATTCATTAAAAAATGAGTGGTTAAATTTTAAGTAAGAAATCTATAGATTTCTTACTTAATAATAGATTATTTAATATAGATTGTTAATATAGATTACTTACTTAATATAGATTGTTTAATTCCTGGGAATCTGATTTGCATCACATCTACATTTTGACTTTGTGTTCTATTGCGATCATTTATTGTTCCTTTCTAATTTTTTTATTTTAATTTTCTACTAAATGCTTTGCATTTTAAAATAAACTAGGTAATTTGGACACTGCTATTAAAAACAGAAATTCTTTTGACTTCAAAAAAAAGACGAGCAGATATTTGGCATTAGCATGGGGCATAAATTATACTCTGGTACACTCACCCAAAAAGGGTTAAAGCCAAAGAAAGAATCTGCTCGCTTATTAAAAATGCAAACATTACCTCAGTCATACAAATGGCCCCACACTTGCCTGCCCACGGCCTCTGCAGATCACCCACCAACGTAGCATTACATCATATGACATTATGGAACAATAGTGAACTCTGTGTAATACTGGAATATATTGTTTTGGAAGAATAAACTGTCATTAACTTGAATAAAAGCTTTCTGAAATCAAACCTGGGGGGTAGAGCCCTCACTGTGTGGCCCTTTTACTACTTCAAGAAACAGCCTTATCCTGAGAGCAGCAAAGAGGGAAAAAAGAGATTAGCGTATAAAGGCAGCAGTGATGAGTGGCCCCAGCAGGCATCCAGCAGGGCTTCAAATTACCAGGCGACGCAGGAGGCCCAGCCTCACACCCATCACTCTATTTCCTATTACAGCCTAGCGACTTGAACACTGGGCTTTGCCAGAATTGGAAACTGAGTCTTACTTATTCTATGTACAAAATTGTTAAACACTTGATGTCCCGATGCCATCAGAAGATGAGCTATCACTTACAGCTATGTGATTTTAGGCACTGAATTTAAGCTCTGAGCCCCAATGTTTTGACCTATAAAATGGAAAGAATAATAGCTACTGTGCAGAGGTATGGGGGGAGGGAATTAGCCTCCCTATCACAATTATGATTATCACAATTATACTTATTATTTCCACCCAATTGTCCCCTTTGCCTATCTTTTCTAATCACTGTCCAAGATGTTTCTACTTCACAGTGAAACACAAGCATCATCTTAAACGCTCACTTGCTTTGTTTGTTTTCTGTGGTCTGGCCATTGTCACATGTTGCTATTTTCATGCCACTCTATCAAATGATTTCTCTCTCTTTCCAAATCCTAGATCATCTCTTAATTGCAACCTAATACTCACTAGCTTTCCTCTCTCTTGTACCTATTCTCCATATTCTCCACAACCAAAATTCAAAGAGGTGGGAAAAAAAAACCCAGGGCAACATAGCTAGTTAGTGGTTAAGTACCAATTAAAAACTGGGTATCAATGCAACCAAGTCCAGTTGCACCACATTAACTTCACCACATTAATTATTCACTTTCCAAGTTCCCAGTGATCATTTTAAATGTGAGGGTAACTCCCCCTAACACTAAGCCTTTTCCCAGATGTTTCCCTACTGGTCAACTTATTATCATAAAAAAATGAATTATTTCAAATGCTTAAAAAAAGAAACACAATCTCAGAAAATTATTAAATATACCTCAATGTTCTAGGGGGGTTGTTTGTTTGTTGTTGTTTTAGTATTTCCCTAAAGTAGGGACAAAAATTGGTCACATAAGGCTACACCTGGGAGTAGAAGACTTTGGGAGGAGAAAGGATGCACTAACAGGAAACAGAGCCAGGAAAATTCTGACTGTGAGCAGTACTTCACTCAATTCCAAAAGGGATGGAGTAGAGAATACCAGTGTCCGCCTCTAAGTTTCTAAAGATAAAGGCTATATCTTTTAATACTATTGTACGAGGATATGTGAAGATGGAAATTTCATTAATGTTGGCTTCTTTGGAGAATCACATTGGCCCTCAGAATCATGAAAACTAATAAGACGATGGGTAACAGGATGTAATGTGCTGTTTTATGTGAGAGCCAGAAGAGTTTACCAAAGTCTAACTCTAAGGACTGTGGGGAACAGACTAAAAGCTTGTATTGCCTCATCTGTAAAGCAGATGAAGTGCTAGGAAGAATGGGTTGATATATGGATCATCTATAAAGTACCATTTATTTTTGTATTTTTGGTTTTTTAAGTATAGTGTGGAATACTGTAACTTTTTTAAAATATATTTTATTGATCATGCCATTAATCAATAACATCAATTACTTTTTAATTACTTACTTATTAAAGTAACGAAATAAACTATGCAGCAGGTCAATGATGAATAAGTACAACAGAGAAAAACTGGCAGGGAAAAGGGCTGCAGTTCTAAACAGGGCAGTCATGGAAGGCTTTACAGAGAAGATGTCATTTAAGCAAAGGCCTGAAGGAGGTGAGTAAAGCACACAGGTATCCAGGGAGAGTAGTGGGGCTATGCAAACCTTTCCAGCAAAACCAGAGAGTCAAATGCAAGCCCTTACCTTTCAAAAGTGGTTGGAAGGTTGGAATCTCTTGCAATTTGATGACATCAGGATCATTGCTGACGTTCCGTGAGGCCTGGGAGCCCTGAGCTACAACCACGATGTCATCCATCTTGGCTCTATGCTTAGCTGGAGAAGGAGTCACTGAAAATAAAATTATTTTATTTAGTCACCTCTGTCTCACCAAAGCTGTTCCACTATAGTCAATAAACAGAATACTTTTATAGAACAACCAAAATCCTAACTGGATTTATCCTGCAGTGGGGTCGTAAGTAAGGGACATGAATCAGGGAGGACCTCTATTTTCTACAGTAGTTAAAAAAACTCAAACATTACAGGAATATGTATGAAATTATTTTGCAATTTAAAATATTTTACTATCCAACACACAAAAGAACAGCAGATTGTGTTTTTTAATTTTTAATTATTTGATCTGCCCTGGCTGGTGTGTCTCAGTGGACTGAGCTTGCGCTGCAAACCAAAGGATCACTGGTTCAATTCCCAGTCAGGGCATATGCCTGGGTTGTGGGCCAGGTCCCCAGTGGGGGCCATGTAAGAGGCAACCACACATTGATATTTCTCTCTTTCTCCCTCCTTTCCCCTCTCTCAAAATAAATAAAATCTTTTAAAAATTTTAAATAAATTCTTTGATCTTCTTTATGACTGCCTCTATTTTACCAATGAAGAAATAAGGGTACAAAATTTGGCTGTGATATGTCCAAGATCAACAGCACTAGACACAGGTTAGGAAAGGAACTGGAGGTCTACAGATTGTTGGTATACATGACCCATCCCTGGGACACAGCAGTTGCAAAGCTGTCTAGCCACCCATCGCAGCAAACCAAGTATGTTTAACAGGTCCTACTTATGGAGGAAAATAAAAACCAAAACCTGACATTCAACCCTAGATAATAGGTGTATTTCTCAGCTACCAGCCACCTCACCCTTAAAGTTACAGGCATTAGTTCAGAAGGTAAAAGAATAATCAGTAGGTCTCTACTAGGCTGAAACAAAACTTAAAAACTTGGAGGATTGCTAGAGAGGTGATCAATTTCAGATGTCAGGAAAATGTAATCTTCTTGGTAGGCAGTGATTCAAACCACCAAGGACTTCTTAATCTAAGACATCCTCCACTCCCCACATATCTTCCTGCTTGGGGCCAGACCACACCTTTAAAGTACTTTACGTTCTATAAGGTAGTATTAGCAAGCTCATCAGTCAGATTCTCAAAGGTTGGTGCAGGGATGCCACAGAACTGCTCTGCCTCCTAGAGGCTAGAGTCTCTCATGGCATGGCATTCACTCTTCCAGAATCTCTGCTTTTATTGCTCTTTAAAAAACGTCTCTTGGCACTTTACCTAAAGCACCCAAGAGGTAAAAGGTTGTACACCTGCTACACGTCCCTTCTGAAAAGGAACCTCTAAGGCCCATTTTTAAGAAGGAACCTGTTCTTAGAGGTCCTGTCTACGATCCATCAACTGTGAGAACGAAGTGTCACTGTCAGTTTGAGTATCGAAGCCAATAATCAATCAGGTCATCTTTTAAACAGGATGTGGCTGAGAGAAACAGCTGTTTTGAAAATAAATAATGGGTATGGGCACCTATGCTGGCTTAGCTTGCGAGCACAGGCACTTACATCCATCAAGGGATTCGAGGTTAGGACTTTTTTTTTAAGGGGGAAAAAAAGCATGGTGAAGGTTTTCTGTGCGTCCAAGTCCGCAGGTCCCAGACCCACTAGGCTGAGAGGCAGCATGCTATGCAAGCTGACATGACTGCCTGGAGGAGGGTGGAAGTTGGGACACCGACCTGAGGAGTTCAGATCGTTGGGTCGGCTCTCGGCCTCGGAGCTCTGCTCACTGCCCATGGTGCCGGCAGCGATGGCAGCCGAAGAACGGTGGGACGGCGGTCACCGTTCAGGCGGCGGGGCGAAGGGACAGGGACCAGGACCAGATCGCTACTAGTCAGGGCGCAGCAGCGAGGCCGCAGTGTGCGGCAAGTGCGCTCAGCCCACGTAGGGGGGCAGGCAATGGGGAATGGAGAGCCTCTATTTGGGGAACGGATGCGCAAGGCGGAGAGGTACGGCTGCACGCCGTTCGCCTGCGTTCCTTAAAGGAATCCCAAGGAGAGAGAAGCCAACACCACCAGGTTTCGGCCGCGCCCTCCGCTCTCCAAGGGCTACCAGTACCCTTCCAGCACACGCTCAAGCTCCACCGGCTGCCCAATTCCCGGACGTGGATTGGCTGTGCTGGCTGCGCGCGCCGTCAGTTCCGGGTTAGAGGGCCTCCGCCCCTTGTCGTAGCCCGGCTGGGAGATTTGCGCAGGAAACTAGGGCGACGCCCACTTAAAGGGCCCAACTGCTTGAAAACCAGACACGCCCCAGAGTGAGCTCCTTCCTGTTGTACTGATTCGTCACCTTTGAGCATCATACACATTAGGCACTGCTTCCCTATCTTTAGAACTTTACAAGACAGATTTTTTTAAACTTTGTTTTACAGATAAAGAGAGGTTTTAGGTAGAGTTAGGATCGGAATCCACAATTGTCTGGATGCAAAGGCAGTAGACAACCATACAAAAAATACTAAATGATGAAAGAAGGAACTGGAAATGAGACACAAATGGTGTTTGTGCATCTTCAAAGGAAAGTGGATGCCACTACAGTCACTTTCTGGAAACCTTGACAATGATCAGGAAGCTGCCACTGACATTTTTCATGCTTCCCTTTAGATGAACATTTCACTCTAAAAGGGATATTACTGTCCATCAACTGAGGAATTGATAAACGTATCATCCCGTTCTCTAATGATTTGCAAGGTTTTTGGCTGAAACACAACTGATAGATAGCCTTATGAAGGTTACTTTGTATAAGAAAAATTACTTTTCTAGCTCCTTTTAAAATTCTCTCTTTGTCTTTGATTTTAAACAGTTTTATTGTAATTTGTTTTGCTGAAGAATGTTTTGCATTGAAATTTTGAGGTGATGTGTTAGCTTTATAAACTCAGATATTCAAACCTCTCCCCAGAAGTTAGGGAAGTTCTCAGCCATTATTTCTTTAAGTGAGATTTCTACCCCAACTCCTTCTCTTTTTTTTCTGGGACTCCAATGGCGCCTACCTTGTTTCTCTTAATGGTGTCCCATATGTTCCATAGGCTTTTTTTTTTAATTTTTTAATTGATTATGCTGTTACAGTTGTTCTATTCCCCCTTTCATTCCCCTCCACCCTACCCCCCCATCCCCACCATTACTCCCCCCCTTTAGTTTATGACCATGTGTCTCAAGTCCTTTAGATTCTATATTTCCCATGCTATTCTTGCCCCCCCATCTATTTTCTATCTACTGTCTATGCTACTTGTTTTCTGTACCTTCTCCCCCCTTCTCCTCCTCCTACTCCCCTCCTTGCTAACCCTCCTTGTGATCTTCATTTCTATGGTTCTCTTCCTGATCTAGCTGTCCTTTTAGTTTGCTTTCGTTTTAGGTGTGGTTCTTGATAACTGTGAGTTTGTTGTCCTTTCACTGTTCATGTTTCTTTAACTTCTTTTTTCTTGGATAAGTCCCTTTAACATTTCATATAATAAGGGCTTGGTGATGATGAACTCCTTGAATTTGATCTTATCTGAGAAGCACCTTATCTGTCCTTCCATTCTAAATGAAATTTTTGCTGGATAGAGCAATCTTGGTTGTAGGTCTTTGGATTTCATGACTTGGAATACCTCTTTCCAGCCCCTTCTTGCCTGTAAGGTCTCTTTTGAGAAATCCGCTGACAGTCTGATGGGGACTCCTTTGTAGGTGACTGTCCCCTTAGCTCTTGCTGCTTCTAGGATTCTCTCCTTCATTTTAATTTTGGCTAATGTAATTATGATGTGCCTTGGTGTGTTCCTTCTTGGGTCCACCTTCTTTGGTACTCTCTGAGCTTCCTGGATTTCCTGGAAGTCTATTTCCTTTGCCAGATTGGGGAAATTCTCCTTTATTATTGGTTCAAATAAGTTTTCCACTGGTGGCTGTGCCTTTCCCCCTTCTGGTACCCCTATAATTCGGATGTTGGAGCGTTTAAAGATGTCCTGGAGGTTCCTAAGACTCTCCTCATTTCTTTGAATTCTTGCTTCTTGACTGTTTTCTGTTTGGCCATTATTTGCTTTCTTCTGGTCCACTCCATTGGTTTGAGTCCCAGTTTCCTTTTCATTGCTATTGGTGTCCTGTGCAATTCCATTCATTTCAATTAGTTTCGCCTTCATATGTTTCTCTAATTTGTGGCTATAATCAACCAGTTCCGTGAAGATCCTGATGACCAGTGTTTTAAACTGTGCGTCTGAGAGTTTTGCTATTTCTTCTTCGCTTAGATCTATGGGCTGTGGGGCTTTGAGATCTTCTTGCGACATTTTTGGTCTGTCTCCTGACCCTTTAAGTGTGAGGAGCGGCACCTTGGACTTCCAGGTCGCTGGGTTGTGACGCTGTATGTGGGGGTGTGGTCAGAGTGGGGAAATGGCGACCCCCTCTGCTGTTTGTCACAGCTGGGTGAGGAGCAGTGCCTTAGACGGTTCACCTGGGCTGGGCCACTCAGAGTCGCTGGGTTATGACGCTGTATGTGGAGGTGGGGTCAGAGCAGGGAAATGGCGACACCCTCCCTGCCGCTTGCCACAGGGACCCGCCCGGCCCCAGTCCAACCGCCCACTCCCTCGCCTGTCCGCCCGAGCACAAATGCGAGACCACAGTCAACACGCAGCATCGCTCCCCCACTGTCTCCCCCGTGGTCACTCGCCTGGTCGCTTGCTTGGTCGCTCACTAGGTCCCACCCTGTGCCTGGATTCTGCGCGTCTGGATTCGGCGCCTGAGTCCGTCTGACCGAGTTTTCCTGTGCAACCCCGCTTCACCAGCCGCTGGTTTCACCCCTTACTGGTCAGGCTGAAGAATTTGTTGTTAACTGACTTCCGAAAAGTTCAATTTTCCGTGCTCTTGCTGTGTTTTGTGTTGCTAATATTTAGTTGTCTCTAAACTTGGTTGTGTGAGAAGGCACGGCACATCCACCTATACCTCCATCTTGGCGGAAGTCATCCATAGGCTTTTTAAAATTTCTTCTCATTCTTTTTTCTCTTTGTTCCTCTGATTGCATAATTTCCATTGATCTGTCTTCTGCACTAATTTTAGCTCACTGATATTCTTTTTCTGCTTAGTTAAGTCTGCTGTTGAAGCCCTCTGTTGAATTCTTTAGTTCAATGTATTCAGCTTCAAAATTAATTTTGACTTTTTAATGCTTTTTATCTCTGTTGAACTTTTCATCTTCTTCTTGTATTGGTTTATTGATGTCGTTAAATTACTTCTCTGTGTTTGTTACCAGGGGCAAGCCTGGACCTTCTGCCGCCCCTTCTCAACAAGCCAAGCTAAGGCACCTGTGACAAGCTGCACGAAAGAGGGAGCACCCTCTGAGGGTGGGGCAGGGACCCTGGAAGCTCGGCTGATCATAGCATCTTGGTGGTGCAATGCCTGGCCCCCAGGCAGCAGGAACCCTGGAGGACACCAAGAGTGGCAGGATGCCACCTTCCACAGTGGGAGCTGTGGTTGGTCCCGGCCACAGTGGAGCATTCTCTCAGATTAGTGGAGCTTCCTGGGAGAGGCCTGGAGGTCAGGGAAGCCAGGCAGCCTCAGGACCCAGCAGAGTAAGGGAGTCTCTCCCCACTGGCAGAATGGTGGCAGAATGGCAGCAGAGGTTCTTTTGAAAAGATTTTATTTATTTATTTTAGAGAGAGGTGAAGGGAGTGGGAAAGAGTGGGAGAGATACATCAATGTGTGAGAGTAACATCAATCAGTTGCCTCTTGAATGTATTCCCCAACTGGGGACCTGGCCCACAACCAAGGCATGTTCTCTGACTGGGAACTGAACTGGCAACCCTTCACTTTACAGGAGGATGCTCAACCAGCTGAGCCACCCTAGTCAGGGGAGAGGAAAGTTCTTACACTCAATGTGATGAAAGCTGAAAATGTGAATGGACAGGGCCCAAGTGCCCACAGGAAGCTGGAAAGATGAATAGATAGGGCCACTAGCAGGCCAAAAGCTAGAAAGATAACAGGATAGGGGAAAGCCCTTGCCCTCAGCCTTCTGTATCAGATTGAGGGTGGGAGCAGGGAAAGGCAGGCATATGGCCATAGAAACCAGAGTGGCGGCAAGAGGAGGTTCTGGACCCTTTTTTCTGGGGAGAGGAGAGATTATTAGTTGGAAGGTGGACCCACCAAAAGTGTGTGAAAGTTTGGGAAGTTGATTCTCTTTCTGAGAAAGCACCTGGCCCAGTCCACACCCAAAATGGATACAGCCCCAGGGGAACAAAGAAACTCTCTTTCTTGCTCCTTGCTTGCTGCTTAGGTCCAGCTCTGCTCTCTGACTCATTGCTCATGCTTGGTACCTGCTCTCTCTTGTTTGTCCCCACTTAGCAGTCACATGGCCCATAGCATCCAGGAGGGAGTCAGGAGGGAATCTATTTCTCCCTCTTTCTTTCTCTCTCCCTGACCTGGTTAAGCATTTGCCGGTGTGTTTGGGCGCGCTCCACTTAGGAGCACGTGCCTTTTCAGCCCTAGCAGTTGCGTAGCCATGGCTGTACGGGGTCCACACACAGCCTCCAGGAGGGAGCCCGAAGCTGGACAGCAGCTGAGAACAAGGTAAGCCACCTGGACGATTGCTTAGTAGCTGCCTAGGGCTCCACAGAATGGTACTTTAAAATGGGGCAGTGATTCTGGGTCATTCCTTTTGTTCTGGTCTTGCTGAGGATGGCTGGATTTTATCTGGGTTTGCAGAGGAGATGAGCTTTGAGAGAGGGCGTCCCTCATTCTCCAAGATGGCACATCATCTGAACAAAACCTTTTCCTTTTGCATCAGCATCCGCCTCACATGTTAGGCTTTTGTGGTGACAGGCATCCAAACCCCCATTTTTCTTTGTTCAGTAATGTGCGCTCTTGTAGCTCTCTGAGCATCTCTGAAACATTTGTTTTGAATTCTTTTTCAGGCAATTCCTAGAACTCCATTTCTTTGGGGCTGGTTACTGGAAGTGCACTGAATTCCATTAGTGTAAACATATTTCCCCGATTCTTCGTGATCCCTGTAGCCTTGAGTACGTGTCTGCACATTTGGGAGAAGACTGCTTCATCTCCAGACTTTGTGGACTGACTTCAGTAGGGGAAAATTTTCACCTGCAAGCGGAGGCACACTGGAGCATGTCCTGCCCCCGGTGGTACAGGGCAGCAAGTGCAGGGACATGTGGGGACTCAGGGCACAAGAGGGCATGATGTCTTTTTGACTCAGGCCACGGGAGTCCACAGAATCAACTACTCTGTGAGCCTTGGCAAGCACTATGGGATATTTTCAGTGGCTGGAATGCCTATTGGAGTCTTACGTGGCACCTGCAGCTTCAGTTGCAGGGGCCAGCAGTAGGTGCCTATGAAGAACGAGGGGCAGGTTGCAGACACACGGTAGTGGAAGGGACCAGGGAACACAGCAAGTTCTAGTGCCAACTACATGCTCACTGGCAGTTGTAAGGTCTCTAGTTGTTAATGTGCACTGCCATGGCTGCTGGGTCTTGCCAAGGACAAAGGAGACAGGGGTCTCTCCAGAGATATGCAGGTGCACAGTTGGAGGGGCTAGCTCAGGTGAGTGCAGAGGTACAGGCCAGTGATAGAGGACAAAGCCAGATCCAGGCCCACAAGCAGCTGTGTGTATGTGTGTGTGGAGAGGGGGAGGAGTGGTTATTGGTAGAGTTTCTTGTGGCTGCACAGTCCCCTGAGGTGTAGACACTACAGTGGAGATTGCTGGCAGATACACAAATGCACTGCCGGCGGGGCTGGCCGAAAGTGTGTGCACAGCAGTGGAGGTCAACTGCGGGGGTCTAGGCTGGCATCTTGCACTCATGCAGCCACAGAAGCCTGTACTGGTTGCCAGTGTGGTTCTGGGTATTGGAGCAGGGGAGAAAGCAGGGAAGGAATCGGGCATCAGTCAGCAGCAAATAGAAAATACCTGTGGGGTAAAAGTTGGGAAATCTGCGGGGCCTTTTGGCCCTTTTCTAGCCATTGGTTTTTTCAGTAATGCAGTTTGCTGGGTTTGCCTGCAGAGCAGGTCACCAGGTACCTCAATCATTCCTGTCATGTGGCTGCTATTGTAGCCCTTGATTTTCTTCTGTATTCCTAGCCATGTCTATGTCTCAGCTTTGCCAGTCGGAGTGAGGTGCCCCGAAAGGCTGGTGCCTCACCCAACTCTTCTGTCTCAACGAGGGGAACTCTCTCTGGCTGGGAAGTTCCCTCTTGGCATTAAGCAATGCTGGCTTGGGAAGTGGGATGATACAGACAAAACGAAGTTGTCTTCCTTCTCTTCTCATGCTGTTATTCTCAGGGTTTTTTGTTCTGCTGTGTTGCTCAAGTTTCTTAAGTGTACTCCAGAGCTCTCCCAGAACTGTTTTTGTTCATGAATAGCTTTGTAATTGTCGATCTTTGTGGGGGGACAGAGGCTGAGGACTCCTATGTCACCGTTTGATAAATGGATAAATAAAATGTGTTATATCCATATAATAAAGTGTTATTTGCCTCCCCCCAAAGAAATGAAATATTAATACATGCTACAATATGGATAAACCTTGAAAACATGCAATGTGAAAAAAGCCCATCACAAAAGACTACATATCGTAGATTCCATTTACGCTCATGTAAATACCCACAAGAGGCACATACAGACAGAAACAGGTGAGCGGTTACCTGAGGCTGAAGAGGAAGAGGGTGGAGGAGAAATGGGGAATGATGATTTATGAGTGTACTTGATCACACAGTTAATAAGTGATAAAACCAGGAATGAATTTTTTTTTTAGATTTTCTTTTTTAGAGAGAGAGGAAGGCAAGGAGAAAGAGAAAGAGAGAAACATCTTTGTGCGAGAGGAACATAGATCTGTTGCTTCTCAAAAGCCCCAACTGGGCCTGCAACCCAGGCATGTGCCCTGACTGGGAATCAAACCAGTGACTTTTGGGTTCACAGGCTGGCACTCAACCTACTAAGTCACCCAGCTGGGGCAGGAGTCAAGTGTTCTAAAACTCACAGTGTCTCTAATCCACTCCTGACTAGCTTTTCCTTTTATGTCTTTCTGTTGCCTAGCAATCCATCCGTGCTGTCCCCAAGCCAGAAATCTGCTTACCCTAACCCCACATCCACCAGGCACAAGTCTAGAACCTCTTGTCTTTATTTCTCTTCCATCTCTATGCCCTCTTCAGGGTCCTCTCATTTCCTCCATTTCTTAGAAAACAGGAGGACTCTGGTCTTACCTCCTTCAACCCATCTACATGTGGCTGGCAGAGAGAACTTTCTAGAATATTAATTAGGTCTTTGGATCTGTCATGGCCCTACTAAAAGCCTTCAACAACTCACCAGGTCTTCAGAGTACAGGTTGAAATTTAGCATATGAGAACCTTCACACTCTGACCCCAGCCGCTCTGTTCCTCTACGCACACCGGCAACCCTGTGCCAGCCTGCAGGATGGAGTTCCCTGAATCTTCAATAGTCATGCTATTTTGTCTGTCTGGAATATTCAGCCTCATTTCTCCATCTAGCTAACTGAACTTCATCTTTCAAGATGCTGAAACCTGCTGAAAATGAATATCTTTCAACCTGCTGAAAATGAATATCCACACTAAACCTGCACTAGGTGTTTACAGCAGCTTTATTCATAGTTGCCAAAACTTGGAAGCGAACAAAATGGCCTTTGGTAGATGGATATATAAACCACAGTGGACTATTATCCAGTAAGAAAAAGAAATAAGCTATCAAACCATGAAGACACATGGAGAAAACTGCATGTTATTAAGTGAAAGAAGCTAATCTCAAAAGGCTAAATACTGATCCAACCACATGACATCCTGGAAAAGGTAAAACCGTAGAGACAACAAAATGATCAGTGATTGCCAGGTTTGGGGGAGGGTGGGGAGGGATAAATAGGCTGAGACAAAAGATTTTTAGAGCATCGAAAATACTCTGTATCATACTATGATGGTGGATACATGTCATTACTCCTTGTCCAAACCTGTAGAACGTACACCACCAAACGAGCAGAAGATAAAATATGGACTGTAAATACGTACAGTTGTAACCAACGTGCCTCTCCAGTGGGAGTGTTGATAATGGGAAAGTCTATGTATGTGTGGGGGCTGAGGGTGTGTGGGAAACTCCGTACTTTACCTACAATTTCCTTGTGAACTTAAAACTACTGTAAAAATTTTGTCTTTAAAAAAGTGGTTGAACTTATGCACACCTCCCAGAAGTGCACATTAGATGCCCCTCTCCTGAGCTTCCTTAGTTAACATCTTCTATCATGACCTTGACTTACGTGTGTCTCCCCTACTGCTCTGTACACATCTTGAAGGTAGATTCTGTGTCCTGTTGGTCTTTAATTTCTCCTACAGGAGCTTTAACACATGTTTTCTGGATAAAACACTTTTTAAAAAAATGTACCTCCACAGAAATGGGACTCAGCCTCAGGGGAAGAGAATTGGTAATCTCTCCAGTCACTGAATACCATTTCTAATTTAAACACCTCATTCATGTTAATACAAAAGTTCTTTAGTCATTGTTTCCATCATTAATCATTATTTTAATTATGTTCAGTGTCATAACTGAATACATAATATCACTTCAATGACACAAGTTCATTGTATCAAAACACTGAGTCTGAAGTTTCCACGTGAGAGAAAGGTCACTTAGTGCTTAGTATGGATATTCCTCATAGGGAGATTCAAAGACTGTGACCTCTCTATACGTTGGACCCTCAAGTGTATCACCTGGCAGAGATAAAATGTACTATGTACATCAGTCTCTTGTTGCATCAGGAAAAGCACTCCAGTGGAAAATCACTGTGGAATTTCCTTGTCTTTGATAACTCTTTAAAGCCAAATTTTTGCAATATTATTGTACTTCAAGAGTAGGTCATCCTCTGTGTACAGCTAGTTAAGAGTTAGTTTTACACAATGGGCCATTATTCATGGGCAGTCTGTCGACATATGTTTTGTGTAGCTATTGGTAAAAGCTAGGAAACAGCAGTTTCCTTTATCAGGGCTGGAATAATCATCTACAACTGCAAAGTGCTCCAGGTTTGAAAGCTCTTTCGCACCAGCCCAAAGGGAGATATTGTCAAAGGTAAGACCTCTTGGCACCTTAAGTGTCAACAGTTTAATAATGTTGCGTTTGTTTGCATGTATGTGTATAGGGGTGGGGTGGAGTGAGCATTGATTGAGAACACACTTCCTAGTAGTTCTTTTCCACTCATTCAGTCAACAAATACATTTTAGTTAAATATTTACTGAGTACCTCTTATGTACCAGTCACTATGCTAACTGTTAGGGATGCAATTTTAATAACTATAACAGATACCATTGTTTTTAAAATCATTATGCTTATAAACAATAAATCCTGCAGCGTCCAAATGTCTTCTGCGAGGCCTGACTTGCACATAATATTTAACTCAAGAATTGCCAACTCTTAGGATAAGTTAAATAGAAAAATAGATGCAGAAGTTGAACTCTTATCAGGAGAAGGATATTTAATTTTATCATTTAGCATAGTGTGAATCTTGCCTTTTTATATTAAACATTTTTCATTTGGAAAAAGAAATGCCAACTCTAATTGAGGACCCGTCAAGCCTCCAACCATCTAAATACGTTCTCATTACTGTGCCCCAGATAGCATGCACTGTAAATTCTTGAATGCGGAGAAACTGCTCTCAGTGACTGCCTCTGGGGATGGGAACTAGTCTAGGACTCGGGTGAGAGCCAGACTTTTCACTGTGTGTACATTTTGGTCGTGTGTCTTTCCTCCTGTGTACATACTTGGGCATTCTCTGGCCCTGGGAAACGAGAAGGCACGGCTGCAGACCCCCGGCACCCACGAGGGTCTCGCCCACGCCCCCTCACCGCGCCCTTGGCTCGTGGGTGAGTGAGGGCAGGGCTGTGTGGGCCCAGGGCTCTCTGCCCTTCTCGCGCGGCCCCCAGGAGCTGCAGCCACTGCGGGGAGAGGTTCGCTTCCCTCGCCGGTGCCCAGTGGACCGTGCTCCTGGTTGCTGGGAAACAGCTCCGGGTTGCAGGGCAGGAATGTGCCCTCCTCCCCCACCTCCACACCCCCGCAAACTTTCAGTTGCTGCGACGGAAGCAGGAACTTGCGAACCACAAGCCAGCTGGCCCGGAGGCAGCTGCGGAGCATCCCCTGCCGCTCCACTGAGAGCCTGGCGCTGAGTCGCCGCTGCTGTCCCCGAGGGCGCCCTCGCACGGGTTGGGCCTCAGGGGCACCGGGTCCCCTCGGCGCCAGGTAAAGGCATCCCGGCACTCCCCTCCCGACCCACCCCAGGTAGCGTCGCCCTCCTTCCTTGTCTGGGGCGAGGCTGCGCCCGGGTCCTGGAGCAGCGGAGCACCGGGCTCGGGCGCAGGAGGGCTGGCCCGGTCTCTGGGGCCCGCGGTGTCCCGCAGGGCGCTCCAGGTCCAGGCAGGCCCGGGGCACCTGCCGTAAACGACACCGGCTCCGCGTCGTCATCAGCACCGGCAGGAGAATAGTTTAGTGACCGACATGTATTTCCTCGAAGGAAGGGAAATGTTCCCAATTTTTTCCTTTTAGGATTTGGGCCCTGTATTCTTGCTCGAAGCTACTAATTGTCTAATACTCTCTGCACGGGGTGTGTGTGTGTGTTTTGATTAGATTATTCCGTGAGTTAAGTGACTTCCAATATTTGATTTAGTTAAGTACACGTATGTTTGACGACGGTAAGCCGGGTAAACAGGCATCAAAGCCCAGGCGCTTCCGCTCGCTCCCACCTGCATCCTTTTCCCTCCATCTTTCAGCAAGACTTTAGACCTTTAAGGCTTAAATGCCTAAATAATAAGGGCTTGGGAGTTAATTTACCTAATTACTGAGTGTCTTTTTTATTTTTTTTAAGATTTTATTTATTTATCTTTAGATGGGAAGGGAAGGAGGGAGGAAGGGAAATATCAATGTATGGTGGCTTCTTGTGCGTCCCCTGCTAGGAACTGGCCTGCAACCCAGGCATGTGCCCTGACTGGGAATCTGTCGGTGGTTGTTTGGCTCGCAGGCCCACGCCCAGTCCACTGGGCTACACCAGCCAGGTTGCTGAGTGTTTTTAATGAGATGAACTCTTCAGTGCTGCTCTTCCTCCAGGAGCTGTAAAGACATTGCACACTGGGAGCCATTCGGAGTAAAGCACTGGCCTGGATTTCCTCTTTTGTTCTTGTTTTGTTTTCCTTAGGGCTAGAACAACTTACAAAATGTGGCCGCATAGAAAGTTAACTCCCGCCGGGATTCGTAACCTGGGGAGGCCATGGGTAGATTTCAGAAAGTCTGTGAACGTCGAGGGAAAATTTTATTATTTTGCTGATTTCTAACTGAAAGGTAGCATTTCCTTTAAGAGGCAGGTAGGCAAAAGCCATCGTAGGGCTAAAGGTAGCTGTTTTGCCACCAGTAGAAAGTACTGGTATTGTTATATCAAATTACTTATTGCACTTATCTCCAAGTATCATTTACATTCAGCACTATTTTGAAATTATGGCAGTTATTGAACATGCCACCACTGGTTATTTAATAGATTAGGAAGCACGTATAATACACAGCTGTTTTTATTTTAACTAAAAAATGGGGATAATAATGGGACCTGTCTCCTTAGGATTCTTGTAAGGGTTAAACGACATGTGTAAAGTGCTTAATATTGCGACTGGCATGTGAGAAATAGAAATGTTGTTTATCATCCTATTGTTTGAAAAGTTGGACGTGACAGTTAGCAAGGTAGCTGTTAGACTCCTGCTCTATTGCCATATGCAGGTTACTTTGGTTTCTGGGTTTTTAAGCTGTTTTGTTGTTTTTTGCTTACTACAGTCTGTTTATGTTGGAGTTCACTCTTTGCATTGTACAGTTTTGTGGGTTTTGACAAACAGAAGGATCTGTACCTATCATATAGAACAGTATCATATAGAATAGTTTCACTGCCTGAAAGATCACCTGTGCTCCAGGGATTTTTTTTTAGTGTCAGTGTAGTTTTGCTTTCTCCAGAATGTAATCTATTTGGAATTGTACCTTTTCAGACTGAATCTTTCACTCAGCAACAGACAATGAAGTTTTCTCTATGTCTTCCTGTGGCTTGATAGTTTATTTCTTTTTATTGCTGAATAACATTCCTTTGTATGGACGTGCCACAGTTTCTTCATCCATTCGTCAATGGAGGACATCTGTGTGGCTTCCAGTTTGACAATTATCAATGAAGTTACTGTAAATATTTATATGCTGGTTGTTGTTTTTTGCCCACTTTTAATTGGGTTGTTTGTTTTCTTATTGCTAAATTTTAAGAGTTATTTGCTATATTTTGGCTACCAGCTCCTCACCAGATATGTGTTTTGCAAATATTTTATCCCAGTCTGTGGGTTATCTTTTTGTTCTGTTAACAGTGCCTTGCACAGAGGAGTTTTTAATTTTAATGAAATCCAACTTATCAGGTTTTTTTTCTTTTGTGGAGTGTGCTTTTAGTATTGTGTATAAAAAGTCACTGCCTATTTTAAGTTCACAAAGATATTCTCCTATGTTTTTATCTAGGCGTTTGACAGTTTTGCATTTTTACATTTAGATTTACAATCTATTCTGAGTTAATTTTTGTGAAAGGTGAAAGATTTTATTTATTTATTTTTCATGGATATGTCCCGTAATCCCAGCACCGGTTTTGAGAAGACCATTCTTTCTCCATCGCCAGAGATCAGTTGACTGTATTTGTGTGAGTCTGTGGCTGGGCTCCCTTCTGTTCCATTGGCCTATTGGTTTATTCTTTTACCAGTACCACCACTGTCTTGATTATTGAAGTTGGGTGGTGTCAGTTCTCCAGCTTGATTCTTCAGTGTTGTGTTGGCGCTTCCAGGCCTTTTTTGCACTTCCATGTAAACTACAGAATCGGTTTGTTGAGACCCACAAAATAACTTGCTGGGATTTTGACTGGGATTGTGTTGAATCCACAGATCAAGCAGGGAAGAACTGACAGGTTAACAATATCGATGAACATGGAATGGCTCTCCAATTATTTAGATTGTCTTTGATTTCTTTCATCAGAGATTTATAGGCTTAGTTAACAAACTACTTTGATAATTATTTTCAATATAATTGGTTCCTGTGTAATCATTTATATTTCATTTTATGCATTTTAAAATATGTCTCTCAGAAGAGATCCTAATCCTCACCTGGCTACCAAAGGGTTCATTAACCCTCCCAACACTCCCCCCCAAAAAAACCCTAAAGAAGCAATAATTGTGCTCTAGGCTATCATTCAGTGAATAATTGCATTCTGGAAATGTGGGGTGAGTGGGTGAGGATACTTTATGGTATTGCATTGACAGGTTAACATTTATTTATATTATTTCTGAAAGAACCAGCTTACGAGTGGAGTTGGCATTATACATAGTGTGACTTTGGTGTTTTTAGGAATGTCAGAAAGAACACCTGCCCCTAAACTTCTCTTCAGCTGAGCCATAATATCCCCCTGCTGACTGCCTAATGCCTGGAATTAGATCGTTAGGGTTACTTGCCTCCGGTTTAACACTTAAAGAAAAGAGGTAACAAGAAAAGCAGCCTCCTTTTCCTCATCTATAAAACGAGGAAAATAATAACTTTTTTGCCGAGCTGGTATCAGGATCAAATAGGACAATATAGGTATATTTCTTAGAACATTGCCTGCCACCCAGTAGGTGATTAAAAACTCTAACTGTTAACTATGAGAAAGAAAATATGCCCAAACCTATGATCACTGCTTCATCGGTGACTGGAGATTGCGTGTCCTCTGGTTAGGAGGGGCAAGAAGAGGGAGGATTCTAGAACTCAGAGGCAGGGCTCCTGTTCTACCTCTTTCTTCACAGACGGACACTTGTCAGCTTTTAAGCAGTAACAGCGTAGCACAGATGTTTGCTAATGCTTTGCCAAGTTTTTAACAAAAGCTTGTCTCAAATCTATTAAAGGTGAAATGAATATAAATATTATAAATACTTGTTTATTTCTGCCCTATACATTGTGAGTCATGTACATTGACTTGAAGGATGTGAAATGTCTCTTTTCTAGATTTGCTAAAAGAAATAGAACTCATTGATGTTTTTTTTGTTTTGTTTTGGTTCTAGAGAGAAATTCAGTCATCTGTGCAATCTTCTTGAAGCAAACTAAGACCAGACAGAGGCTTCTCCTTGACCTTTGAAGACTAAAACTATACTGAAATCTAAAATGTTGTCTGGAGGAGAACGGACCTTGACCTACACTTCTGTGACCATTTGTCTCCTGACAGTGAGGCTGTCCGCCAGTCATGACTGTCCTGCCTGGAGCCTGGGAGACGTGGTCATTGACATCCAGTCCTCTCTTACGAGGGGAATCAGAGGCAATGAGCCCATACATACGCTAACTCAAGAAGACTGCATTGATTCTTGCTGTTCAACAAAAAACATATCAGGTAAGGAATAGCCCCTTGACTCCCCCCCCCCCTTATTCCCCATGTTTTGTGACATAAGAGGCTGGTTGACATGGCTCAGTAGTTTATACTAGTGATTCCCAATGGGGTAGAAAGGTGGGTGACAAACTCACACAGGAAGTGTTCCACCTGTATACCCTCCCCTCTCCTAAGCTTAGTCAAAGTTCCTGATGAGTGTGTGTGTGTATCACTCAGCTGTGTGGGTGTAAAAAAGTTGAGAACCATTGGTGCTGGGTTCTAAAAGGCATCTAGAATATTGAAACAAAAATGCTCTTTAAATGCCATTGTTGTGGAGTACTGCAATACAATGTGATATTACAGAGCACATTTAAACAAAGAAAGGGAATTGAGACTAAAAAAAATGCCTAAATCATCCCATAGGAAAATCAGCATTTGATTTTTAAGTGGAAACACAAAATTTTTATTTTGTCTCCCTTCCCTGGAGCCAGTGATATACGGTGAGTCAGGAAGGAACTGGCCACTGATTGAAGCTTCTAGGACACTTCTAGGTGTGGGAAGTCATATAGTGTGACCCACTCATATGACACAGAAGGAATCTATGGCCACAGGTTTAAACCATACCTCTGCATATTTCAGGCTCCAACCCTATTACCTGAAAAGAGAAGTGCATATCTGCCTGAAACAGTGGTTGTTTTTCAGTTGTGTATGGACCTGCCCCAATTCCCTAAATGCAAAACAAACAAACAAACAAACAAACACCCTAAATTTATTGAGCACTAATGCATCGCTGGGATAGGACAAGAAGATGGATAAGGCCTTGCCCTCAGAGCCTAGAAGAGCTAGTGAATGCTGGATTAGTGATTCTTACTTGACTTATTAGCCAACAAAATCTTGTTTTCTCTTAGATCTCCCTCTTTTTTTCTGTAGTGGTTGTGGTATCAAAAGGGAGGGAGGGAGGGAGGGAGGGAGGGAGGAAGGGAGGAAGGGAGGAAGGGAGATTTGGTCTTTGTCCCTGGTTCCTGGCACAGAGCTCCTAAAACCCTTGGAATTTCCTGAGCATAGGAACTCTTTTGTTGTGAGACTGCTCCAGACTAAGGTAAAAGCCAATTCTACGCCATGGTAATTAGAATAATTTCTATTGGACATAAGAGAAAGAGAAGCTAGAAATGAAAGTTAAGAGTGAAAAGTGAAGGAGGAAGGAAAACAGAAAACCAAAAATGATAAGCAAGAGGAGAAATATTAAGAAAGAACCAAAAGAAGAGTGGCAGTGACAAAAATGAGAAGTAGACCCGGCACTCCCCACACTACTCAGATTCTTTGTGGAAGGAGGCCTGTTAGGTAGGATGCTGACTTTACTGACGCTGCCTAAGAAAGCCACGGCTTCATGGCTGTGTGAGATGCCTTCAGGATGCAAGGCATATATGGACTCATTAGGTCTGATCCGTTTCTTAAGGCCCAACTCAACTGAGAGGTGTGTAAAGAAAGATTGCAAAGTCAGTACATTTTGGTGGATATTTTAGCAAACAGAAAGCTTATTTCTAAAGAACTAAATGTACCATTAAAATTGGTTTTGCCAAAATTACCTTAATTCGGGTTTTTAAACCTAACGTCTTTAAACATGGCTTCAGTGGACTAAACTGAGAAAAAGGAAATGATTCAGCTGTCAGCAAGCAAGTGAAGAAAAGTGTTTATGTTGGACACCAGAATAAATGAGGTTCTTCCTGCCTGCCGTACTCCCTAGAAAATCCTGTTTCAAAATAATGTTTGTGAAACCTTTCATTGCAGGGGACAAAGCGTGTAACTTGATGATCTTCGACACTCGAAAAACAGCTAGACTGCCCAACTGCTACCTGTTTTTCTGTCCCAGTGAGGAGGCCTGTCCAGTGAAACCAGCGGAGGGGCTTAGGAGTTACAGGATAATTAGAGGTAATAAGAACATTGCTCATTTTCTTTTGTGATTGGAATTACTTAAGGATAGGGTTCATGTGAAAGATTTTCTACAGAGGAGTCTAAGTAAAATTGCCAAAAGGGGTCACACATGGGGAGGCACACTAGAAAAATCTCATGATTTAAAATTTAGTTTTTAGCTCTGGCTCGTGTGGCTTAGTGGGTTGAGTGGAGTGAAGCAAAAGGTCACCAGTTCAGTTCCCAGTCAGGACACACGCCTGGGTTTTTGGGCCAGGTCCCCAGTAGGGGGCACTCGAGAGGGCATTGATGTTTCTCTCCCTTTTTCCCCTCTCTTCCCCTCTCCCTAAAGAATAAATAAAATCTTTAAAAAAAGAATTAAAATTTAACTTTTAAACCAAACTACTTTCCAGTGAAAGACCTCTGAACTATAGTTTTTGTTTTGCTTTGTTTTTGTTTTTATCTTCCTAAGATAAAAGGTGCCCAGACTTTTCATGAACACATTTTGAAACACCTGTTTAGAACAATATCAGCAGCAACAGTGTCAACTGGAGTAAAGGTACAGGTCTCCTGTTTTGAAAGAACTAAGACCTATGCAAATATATAGAATTCTAGTATATTTATCATTAGGTTAGAATTATTTTATAATCATGTTATCTGAAATCAAACTTAGTGGACTTTGTTGTGTAGCCCTGGAGAGAAGTTCAAAAACATTAGTTGAGCATCTACCATGTGCCAAATTCCGTGCAAAGCAGTGGAAATACAATCTGCATGCATATGGAACTTACATATTTGTTCAGAATACAGAAAGTGAAATAAGATCATTATTTGGATATATCTTGGGGGAGAATTTGGTTAATTTTTCAGATGAAATGCTTTCAGTATCAAATTTTCCTTGAAAGTTTTTGTCATTCTATCCTGGATAATTAATATCATTGTCTTTATTCAATAAACAAGTATTATTTTGTATCTTCTATGTGCCAAGCACTTTTTCACACCCTAGGAATACAAGGATGCAACACTAAATGTACTACAACAAGGCTCTGACTTCTGAAACGTATGTTTTGGGAGAAACAGAGACAAGAAATAAAGATTCGAGAACAAAATGCAATGCAGATGACTGAGCTAAGACAATGTGCTAGATAATCCCCGAGTGATAATCTCTGGGGTAGGGGATCGGAGGAAGCACCTGTGAAGAAGTGACCCCTAAACTGAGATCTGAGTGGATCTGAGATGTGAGATCACAGGAAGGCCTTCCCAGCAGAGGAAGTAGCCTGTTTGCATGTCCCAGCTGGCTGACTCACAGTGAACCATGCATGTACTTAATGATATGCCAGATGTAAGAAAGGTAGATCACAAAAAGTTTTATGAGTCAGGGCAGAGTGGGACAGGGCAGAGTTTTGGAGTTTTGTTTTTCACTATATTTTTATTTTTTTAATTATTTTATTGTTGTTCAAGTACAGTTGTCTGCATTTACCCCACCACCACTACCCCTCCACCCCAGCCATCCCCACCTCCCTCCCCTGATTCCACTCCACCTTGGTTTTTGTCCATGTGTCCTTTATAGTTGTTCCCGAAAACCCTACCCCCTTCCCCCCCATTCTCCACTCCCACCTCCCCTCTGGTTACTGTCAGATTGTTCTTAATTTCAAAGTCTCTGGTTGTATTTTGCTTGCTGGCTGGCTTATTTGAAGTGTGTAATGGGAAGCCATTGGAAGTTTTTAAGGAGGCAAGGAATGTGATGTTTTAAAGGTGATTTCTCAAAGCCCACTGTGGCTGCTCTTGACAGTGGCAAGAGGGGAGGTGGGAAGACAGGCTAGGAGGTGGGGCTGAGATCAACGTGAATCGCGGTGGACCAGGGAGGTGGGAGAGGAGATGGAGAGAAGAAACATAGGGGCTGCTTCAGAGGTGGAGCTCCCAGGACTTGCTGCTGGCATGGGTGTGGGGAACGCGGACGAGAGAAGCACTGGAGCCAAGTCCTCATTTTTGTCTTGAGTGTCTACCTGGCTGGTGGTACCACCTGCTGAGCTGAGGAACATCCGAGGAGGAGTGGCTCTAAGGCTGGGAGGGAAAGTGCAGCCCAGGGCACCTGCTCGGGGTTTACCGGGGCGCTGACTCTGCTTGGTCCCTTGGGTGGAACCGTGTCTGAGTTTTGTTCCTGGAGCAGGAAAACCAGATGTACGACACATTCCCTTAAACAGATTACTTGTAAATTCTTCCTAAATAGTGGTATGAACCCAACTATGAAGAGACTGACACACAGGACACAAAGTTTCAGTTTTGCAAGATGAAAAAAAGCTCTGGAGATGGGGATGGTTTCCCAGTGGTGTGAATACACCCAGTCCCACTGAACTGTGCACTTAAAAAGGGTTAATGTGGTAGAATATATGTGTGTTTTACTACAATTCTTAAACGTAACAGTTTTTAAAGGACTATGACACAACAGATCAGGCCTCTGAGAGCACTCAAGACCTTACGTTGCATGGACGGTGTCTTGTCCCCCTCCTCCCCTTTCGGGGCTTCAGTGACCGGGGTGGCTGCCCCTGGTCTGTGTGACTCCTTCGCTTCTGCCTGTCTGTGTACAGTCTTGGCCAAAAACACAAGGTACCTGCAGTGTGGTGTGGATATGGCTTCTCGCTGTTCCTCCTCGATCACCTGGAACATGGCAGAGCCTGTCAGACACCCAGAGGTGCTGTCCAGCAGGAACTGGATTTGCCAGTCGGAGTTTCCAGAGCGGCCAGGACACGGATCGGAGCACCTGCTCTTCTCCTTCAGGAGCTCCCATCACACGGAAGTGGGGCCATCACCTTCCACCTCTATTATCCCTTCACACGACCTCTGCTTCATCCTGTCCTTTCTTCCCCGTGTCTGTCATCTGCTTTATAATTCAGGTCCAGTGTGTTAGCCCTGGCCAACGTGGCTCATTGGTGGACATGTCGTCCGTGGGCCGAAGGGTCATGGGTTTAATTCCCAGTCATATACCTAGGGTGTGGGTTTGGTTCCCGGCTGGCGCGCGTACCAGAGGCAACCAATCGATGTTTCTCTCCCTTTCTCTCCCTCTCCCTTCCCCTGTCTCTGAAATCAATGGGTTCTTGGGTGAGGATGGAAAAAAAAAGCAGAATATTTTTAAAAAAGAGATCATTTTAATCTAGTAATGCTAGTTCCATAAAATCTACACTAAATAAACAATATTGAAACATGAAAGGTTTTTATTATATAATTAGTCAAAAAATCTATAAGCAACATAAATGTCCAATTGCCAAAGCATGGTTGGGTATAAAATATGATGAATCTACAGGAGGGAATATGATGCAAACACTAAAAAATAAGTTGCAGGTGTAGAAATAAGCAAGTTCACCTAAATATCTGGTGAAAAACATTCTGTTGTTTTTCAATTACATGAAAAAAATGTTTTAACTTAAAGGTATATACACATGTTAATAGTGGCTGGGACATGACAGAAATTATCGTTGAATTTGTTCTCATTTTTATTATACCTTGGTAATGTGGTTGCTTTTATAATGCATGTATAAAAAGGAGTATGCAGTAAAGATTTTCTCCGGTGGAAATGTGCACTTGGCACGTGCACAAACCTTTTTAGGGTTAGTGTAAAGGTAGAATGAAGTAGGACTAGAATCCAACAGTTCCGCTGGTAGCCACCAGGGGGTGTCATCAGCCCAGAGCAGGTTGATTAATAACTGCGTGCAAAGTGGCTGGACCTAGGGAGCAGGGGACTATTTCTATCTACAGTATGTTTACAAGGTGTGTGTATAATTAATTCTACTTCTGCGTCTACCCATGTTGATAGATTGAGATTACCCATAAAACTAAATTATCTGCCTCCTGTTTGCCGTGAAATTAAATACCTGTTTGGTGATGTGTTTCCGGATGAACTCTTGTTTCACTGACTAATATTTACAGACTGTAAGTTTGAAAGATGGCAGTATATTCTGTTCATTCTATAAAACCACTTAGCATGGATGGCATCATTTAATTTTTTTTTTTTTTCAGTTTGTAGGATATCATGTCTACCAAAGACCAGAACACGGGAATTCCGAAGTAGAATACTTTGGGAGCCCGTGTCCTCAACTGGTTTTCAAGTAATAGTCAGTCCCTAAATTTTTTACTTAGTGAAGTCACTGAAAAATGAAACTCAAAAGAGGGGCTGAGAGCACAGCCACAGGGCTGTTTCCCAGCCCCCGGGGCTCACCTCTCGGTGACCGAGAGAAAGCACCACGCCCCAAAGGCAAACTTCAGCGGGTGAGGTCCGGGCAGCAGGTGCGCAGGCTCTCTGCGCGGTTCTAGGACCGCTGCCAGCAGATGAATGTTTCTGGGAATGGGACTAGCCCTTTCTTTGCTTTATTTATGAGCTTGCATTCTTGAGAAAGAAACAGCTGTTTTGCTCATTCTTGTCAGTGGCCTTATTTAAGTTCTGAGTTCATACATATCACAGAGCATGTACTTTAAATGGCCTTTCTTTAACTTTAAAACGAAATATGTTGAGTCCTGCTCTTTTTTAAGGTATCTGATCCCACCTAAAAACAGTGCTCTTTAGGTCCTGGTGATGCCGTCTACGAATATGGTGTCACCTGCAGCAGAAACTCTTTTCTTCAGTGTTGGTGGAGGAAGGGGCATCCCAGGCACCCAAATCCTGTTTTATAGTAAAGAACAATGTCCTGGAGCAGGCGTTTGCAGACTTTTTTGGTCAAGGGCCAAATAACAAGCATCGTACGCTTTTCAGGCCAGTGTTCGAGGTTTCGTGGGTCAGGTACAATCCGTCGTACTTCATCACCTCTGTCCTGGTATTACGAAAGCAGTGAGAGCCAATATGTAAACAAGTGAGCATGGCTCCGCGCCAGTATAACTTTATGGACCCGGAAATTTGAATTTTGTGTCATTTTTGTGTGTCACAAAATACTATTCTTTTTATTTTATGTATATATTTTAAATGTTTACTTATCGCCCAGTCCTCTTCCATGAGTTCCTCTTCTCCTCTGTCTCCTCGCTCTAGAAACAAACCGCAGCATCTGGTGGTGAGACACCGCCATCAGGTCCGACTTAGCGATTTGTGTTTTTACATTTTGCCCAAGTTTCAATGAAATGTCAAGTGTCAACAGTGTGGGCACTTATTGAACAAACTGATACATTTGTCTTTTTTGTAAAAATATTTTATTTATTTATTTTTAGAGAGAGGGGAAGGGAAGGAGAAAGAGTGGGAGAGAAACATCACTGTGTGGTTGACTCTCACATGACCCCTACTGGGGACCTGGCCCACAACCCAGGCATGTGCCCTGACTGGGAATCGAACTGCGATACTCCGGTTCACAGGCCCATGCTCAATCCACTGAGCTACACCAGCCAGGGCAACATTTGTCTTTTTTAACCTACCTTATCAACTTGTCTCCCTTTCGTTTTCTTTACATTTTCAGATTTTCCTTCATCAGGCAGAGCTGATGGGCCAAGCTCAGCAGTCAGTCCCACACCCCCTCGTCTCCCAGGTTATTCAAAGCCCATGGATACCTTATGGAGAGATGCATTTTCTCGGAAGTCTGGAGCTTCAGATCGCTTGGAGAAGCTGTTCACGACTGATCCTGTGAGCACACGGTTCCCCGTTTATAAAGAAAACGCCCATTCTCAGAGCTCACAGTTATTCTCAGAACAAAGAACAGCCCATCTGCTGCCTGAAAATGTGACAACAGTCCCCACTGCAGAGGCCGTTGCTTCTCCACACAGCCTCCCTGCTGCGCCAGAGCCCGCGGTTCTTTTCCCCACCAGAGCTCCTGCCATACCGCCCGTGACTCCCCAACTGCAGGTGGCCACCACAGCTCCGCCTGCGGGGACCCTCGATTCTCAGCCTCCCACAGTCTCTTCTACACTTTTGACACGTGCTGTGGTTACCCCCCAAGCTAACGTGACTGTAACAGCCGTGCCAACTACCATCTTTCAGGTACCTACAGACTCGCAAGGCCTAGCAGAAACCGTGCCCTTTAGAGAGATGTCCAACCTAACTTGGACGGCAGAGGCAGCCCATAGCTCTGCTACAGGTCTTTCGCCCAATGTGGATTCTTCTACAAGCAAAACGGCTTCCCAGGAAAATGGGAAGACCAGTGCGGGCGGCTCCTCCCGGCACAGTTTCCCAGAAAGTCAGCACGACCTCCCATTTGAAAAGTGGCTCCTCGTCGGGGCCCTGCTCTTTGGTGTTCTGTTCCTCACGATAGGCCTCGTCCTCCTGGGGAGAATATTCTTGGAATCCCTGCGCAGGAAGCGTTACTCCAGACTTGATTACTTGATCAATGGGATCTATGTTGACATGTAAGGACAAAGCTAGATGTCTCTTAATTTATGTGGTTCCTTGTAGTCCACACATACTGAGTTTCTGCTGACTTGCTGATTTTAGGGTTTTTGAAGTACTCAAGGCAGGCAAATGCCCCTACCACTTGTTTTTGCTTTTTTTTCTTAAGGGGAAAGAAAACAAATTGGGTAATTTGTATGATATATCTCTAAAATACTAGCTGAGAGCAAAGCTCTACCTAAAATAATAAAGTACGATTGCCATATAAATTTGAAAAGTGACTGGCATTTTGCAAAAAAGAAAATGTTAGAAATTTTAGGCTCCAATTTGTTTATATTTCTAGTTCCAGAGAAAGTCAACTATTTATGATATTAATTCTAATGGATTTTACTTTCCTTTTTATATATATTCCAATAAAATTTATTCCAGATATACTTTCTTCTAATTAAATATTTGAATAAATCTTTTGCTACTAAGTAATGTTCTTGTAAGTTGTATGCCCATCTGGATACCTTTCCATTCTACCAGCAAAATGATTAAATGATGAAAATATGTGTTCTAAGTTAGGATGACAACCCCCTCCCCCCTTATCGTCAGTGAGCAAAGAGGTTACTTTGGGAGAATTCTAGCAGAGTATTAGCCTACATGGAGACAATGATAAGTCAGTTCTGATAAATGGCCAAATCTGTTGGGTTGGCCAAAGAGTTCATTTAGGTTTTTCCATACAATGGCTCTAGTAGTGCTTAGTTATCTTTGATTTCATTCAGAACAACTTTATTTGATTGTATCGTGACAACTGTCATAGCAGGGTGCATTTAAAAAGATCTTATCCAAATTTATGCATTTTTGTGCAGCCATTTTAATATTGGAGATGGAATTAAATGGATAACACTTTTAGTGTATTATGCTGCATTATTTCAAGAAAGGTAAAAACTCAATTGAAACACCCAAAAAAGATTTGTGCAGTGTGTGGAGAAGGTGCTGTGACTGATCAAACACATCGAAAGTGGTTTGCAACGTTTCTTGGTACCATTGACATTTTGGCCAAATAATTCTTTGCTGCGGGTCTGTCTTATACACTGGAAGATGTTTAGCAACATCCCTGACCTCCACCCACAAGAAGCCAACAGGAGGAGACAACCAACATACTAAAAATATCCAAATCAATAAAGTTATTGGTGAAAATGAAAAATATGTCTTTTATTTCATGAAATAAACTAAACATACTTTTTGGCCAATCTAATCCTTTTCAATCTAGTTAAATTTATAATAATAATAATAATGATAATAAAAGCATTTCCTAAAATTTACTGAGTTTAAATATAATCATATTACTCATAAATCCTTGTCTAAACCTGACCAACACGCATCCTTGGCTTTACCTGGAATAACATTAGAAATAATAGAGCGCACTTAAAGTTATCATTCAATGATTAGTGTGTTGTAGCTTTTATTGATTAGTTATTGAAATGCCTGAGAAATGCTTTTAATATATAAAGTTTGCCAGACAAGTTACAGTGGGTAACTAAGAAGCCAGATCACCGCATAGGTCAGTTTGACACCTCACCTCTCTGAACTTCCAGTTGCTTATCTGCAAAACGAGAGGTTGGGTCCCTTCCTGGTGATTTTATGGAATTCAGGTGAGAGCTTTATATAGTGAACACTAGAGGGCAGTATATGGCTATTAAGTACAGCAAGGAAGGCAAATGAAGGAAATCACAAAAACAGGCTTTTTTCCTCTTTCCTCCTCACATCTTCCTTCCCATCTCCTCTCCGGGAACCCCCACCCCCTTCCCCCAGGTTTATACTAAGCTCATTAGGAGAAAAGCTGGTCTATTGAAAACATTACTTTTCATATATTTTCCAACTTAACAGCTTGACACAAATCTCCAAGGGGTTTACATAAGCTTTAAGTCGATGAGTAAATAAAACCTTGAATCAATTTAATTTAACAAGCATTTATTGAATAGCCACCTGTATCCCAGAATCAGATTAGTAACTAAGTGCCTCAGGACTGTAAAATTTCTCCCCTCTTTGTTAACGGAATTGAGTCGTAGAAATAAGGCTTTCTGTGGGTGTTTATAAAAGCTTTCTCCTGGTTCTCCCGGAGCTCTCTGTCCGCCTTGCTGCTACGTGCAGTCTTTCTGGAGGTGGAAACTTGATGGGGAGCCCAGACCAGAGGCCCTAGCAGGAGTCCAGATGAGAGATGCTGTGGGCCCAGACTCTGGCAGTGACTGTGGGGAGGGATGTAGATTGCAGGGGAAATGCTGGATGTAAGGAAGACCTGCTTCTAAGAAGCAGGGTAGCTCTTCTCACGCTGCCCTCTCTGCTTATTATCCCTGCCATCATAGGTGAGACTGTGGCCAGGGGAAATCAGAGACAAGGAAGCCTGCATTTGCTTTCTTTTAAAGAGCAATAACAGCGATTAGCCTAGCCAACCTTGTAGACAAGGGGCTCTGAATTACGACCTCTTCCTTTGGTTTGCAGGGAGGGAAGGCAACCGCCTAGTACAAGTGAGAAGACCACAAGGGTTCCCCTACTCAAAAAATTCTCTCTCCGTTTTTCACCAAGATACTCACCTGGATTAAAAGACTGTTCTTAAAACAGAGAGTGGCCACGAAGAATAAGAGCCCATGGCTCATTCCCTCTCGATGAACACTGCTGCCTTCTTGCTTCTCAATCATCTCTGGCCTGAGCGAGGCATCCTTAGAAGTCTCTGGTTGCCAGATCATGGTGGGCACTGCAGGTTATCCCCACAACAGCCGCCCCCAGTCTCACTGTCGCCTTCCTTGTTTAGGTTGGAAGTGTCAGATTCTTTCTCCGCCCCTCTCACAGTTAGGGGTGGGCCTGTGACCCATTTCTAGCTGAAAGGAAATCTACTGAGGGCTTCTAGGAAAGATTCTCCTCCTTGATAAGTGAGGGTCACACAAGTAAGAAAGCCCTTTTTGCCCCCAACCCCTTATTTGCTGCTTGGAATGAGGGTCACGTAGGTAGAGGGACTTGGAGTCGCTGCATGTAGCTTATCTGCCACCATCAGGGGAGAAATTACTAGTGAGCCAAGCATGGCAAGGCAGGATACGGAAAAAGTCTGGGCCTTGATGCCTGGGTTAGGCAATATCACCAAACCAGGAACTGCCCAATTCCAATCATGTTCTGTGCTAATAAATCTAATTTATTTTGTAGCACTTTTGGTTAAGTATTCTACTACTTATTGATAATGATAACAAACACCTACAGAGAACTCGTAGTATGTGCCAGGCACACTTTTACATACACAAACTTATTCCTACAATAATCTCCTGAGGAATTTTTATACTTGTTTTGCAGATGAGTAACCCGAGGCACAGAGAGGTTTAAATGACTTGCTTGAGGTCACTTGCCCAGATAATCTGTCTTCAGAGCTCCCATTCTTTGCATTCTTATGATGAATGATACACAGGATGGCAAAAAAAAAAAAAAAAAAAAAGGTTTGTCGTAGATCAGACATATTCGAGATGACAGCTTTTCAATTTTGTTGAACTAAAGGATATCTTGAGCCAAAATCATGGAATTTAAGAGCTCAGTGTTCTCATTCTGGGATCAGCTTCCTGTCTCTTTCAGCTGCTGACATTCTGTCTTCTTGCTTGGTCACTGACCACCTGGGCCAAAGTTAATGGCCACTCATTAGCGGGAGGCACACCAAAGTGAAGGACCCATCTTGACCCTGGCTTCTCACCCTCAGTTACTAGTACTCCAGCCCCTAGGCTCCCCGTACTGAGCAACTTTGAAGTCATACTCTATTTCTTTCTCTCCCTCAGCCTCTACCTCCAGGGTTTACCAAATATTATTTATTCACTTTCAAGAATGCTTCTCAAAATCAACCCCTCTCATGGCCACCTCCTGTTTAGTCTTCCTAAACCATTCCTCCGGACTCCCAAGTTACACTCTCCCTCCACGAGACCCCCAGTGATATCAGAAGCACAACACATACAATCTGTCCTGCACGACACCTCTGTGCCCCCCATTACCTGCATGGATGGTTACCCACTGAATGCTGCACAACAAGACTCCCACGCTACAGCCCCAACCTCCCTGGCCTCCCCTCTACCTTCCCACCCGCAAAACCTGGGCTGCAGCTCCACACCCCTATTCTGTTCTCAAACGTGCTGGGGGCCTTCACGGGCCACGCTATTCCCTCTGCTTGTAAATGCCCTTTCCCTTGTTCACCTGGCCAATTTCCACTCACCTTTCAAGACTCAGCTCAAACATCACCTCCAGCACTGTCTTCCCCGAGTCCCCGGGAGAGGTATAATTCCTCCCGGATTTCTGGCAGGGTTCTTGATTTGCACCATTAGCAAGGCAGTTCCACGGTGTCTTCTAACATATCAGTTTATTCGTAGACTGTGATCTGTTAGAGAGCAATATTTCGCTGATTCTCCATACTTAATAGTGTGCCTGGCACATAGCAGACACTCCATAAATGATCATGAGTGAATTTTAAAACCTCTTTGTTGAAGTTCATTCCTGTCAGCAAAGAGCAGTAATGTGATCGGCTATCCATGCAACAGCTTCTATATCATGAAGAGAAAAATCCAGCTAAGACCCCCATGTATATGCATTTTTAAGAGAATGGGATGCAATCCAAGTGCACAGCAATGAACTATATACACTTAACTAAGACCATGTGCTGAAGACCCAGTAGATAAGTATTTTGATTTTGTTTGTTTCTCTCCTTCAAGTTGAAGCAGAGCAAATTGCTTAGCCTGTAGAGAGAGTGAGCTGACAGAATGTTTTTGCTTATGTTCTTCTATTTTGGGTTAATTTTTAAGATAACTTTTGGAGCACTCTTACAGCCAAAGTAAGACTCAGATTCTAAGTTGTCTGTCCCCAAATTGATGTTGGTTAGCAAAAGAGTCAAAAAATGAAACCCAGAGCGGCAGCCTTCTGATTCAATATTCTTTGTCCTACAGTGCGCTCCCAAGAGCACAGATGTGTCTCTGTGGAAATCATGTACCCGGTAACACACACATCCAGATACGGGATGCAAGGGCAAGTCTGATGTTCAATCTCACTGTATATAACGTAATATGTAACGTCTTTAGTAATCATTTGTTTTCCATCTTTTTTAAAGGGGAAACATGTATTTACATTTAACTAGTAGGAAATGAGGACCTAACACTTACTAAAGCCTAAATTTTGTTTTAGCAATTCTATGCAAATACTGTCCTTATATGCAACTTCACACTGTCTTCACCTTTTTATTTGGGTAATTCGTCTTCCTGGCGATGTCGAAAGTGCCTGGAACAACCGCAGTTCGCCTGACATTTCCTTTGATTTGCTCGTGTCCCTTACTGTTTGCCTCTCGTGGCTACAGTGTAGGAGAGACAAGGAAACCACAACCCAGAGAACCGAAGGACTTGCCCAACCTTGTCCCGGACTCTCCATCCTTGCTTTCTCTGCCGTGACAGCTCCCGCCGGCCCTTGCATTGAATGGGAGAGCAGTAGGTATTGTTAGTTTTAACATCTTCTAGACATTGAAGCTCTGAGGTCTTTGGCCTTTCTTTCATGGGATGAAAGGAAGCCCAAATGCAGCCAGACAAGAGTTATAAAAGGTAGGAGGGGTGGGCCCTTCACAGGTCTGGCTCATGCCTCCCTCCATTTCTCTCGTTCTTCTCCCTTTTCTTCTCACCACCGCCCTCGGCCCCTCAGGCCCTGAGACCTGTGTGGGCCTCCAGCCCCTGCCCTCCAGGGGCTCGGCTCCCATGGGAATGCGGGACTCAGAAACTGGGCACACCCTGCTTTGATCTCCTCAGAGACCTGGCTTGTCCTCACAGTCGCTGAAGGCCACTCCCTCGCACTATCGCACTATCGGAGGAAAACGGAAAACTTCACCAACGATCACAGGCCCTGCCACATTTGCAGGCCCTTTCTGCAGGCATTTGCCTAATGAGCTCTCAAAATCCCAAACAACAAAATCCGAAAGGATGCTATAGAAGAAATAGAATTTGGAGCTGATGCATAAATTGATAAATGGGCAAGTGAGGGTAAGTAGGTGAATGAGAGGGGACTGGACAGTGGAAATATGGGCCAGTAAATGGATGTTATTGTTGAATATTGAATGAATCTGTACATGGGGCTAAATTTACCAGCTTTAGCTGGTGTCCCCTAATGAACCACAAGGGAGCCCCTCTGCACCT